GATGAGTAAAATAAAACATTGCATGCAAAATATCTTAATCAGTCTAATTGTTCAACAATAACAAAAAGATTGAATCAGAAAAACTAAAATTTACAGAGGAAAAGAGAAAATACAATAACGTTTATGGAGAATTCACAGAGGACATGGTGGTGCATCCCTGAAATTGAATTATCCAATTTTTTTGAGTTTATGCCATCTTTAGCACCAACAATACAAACGTCAAAAGGTCAGAGCCCAGACGAAATCAATCATACTTTCATTTTCATCTTGAATTTCTTTAGTTGTTTTGTGTTAAATTATGAAAAATTAAGAAACCCTGATCAAATGTCCAAGTTTTAGACTTCATTTATTGTTGGTTTTTTGGGTAAATATTCACATTGTTTTGAGTATCTAACCACATTTAGCTCAAATTTACCAGTAGTTTCACCACATAGAATGTAAATAAAAGCAAGTTTATTGTTTTCTGGAACATATATTGGAAGCTGTTGACTGCCAATGAAAAAAAGTATTCTTGCAAACCTGTGAATTCATTTTAGTTTTTGCCTCTTTCATCTTTTCAAAATTAAACCTCACACACTATTTGCTGTTGACAAAATAGAAATTAACTTTTTATCAGGTGCTTTCGACCACTTACAGTGGTTCAGACCCAGTTCAGACCACAGGTCACATTCGCCCATGCACACCCATGCTTTGGAGTGAACACTCATGTTGTTATTTTAACAAAGGGAAAATACAAATACTAGGTAAAACTATAGTTACTGTCATGCATCACCTAAAAGGATGAACAAAACATCTTAATAAAGTCTAAAGCAGTGGTTCCCAACCTTTTTTCGTGAGGATCCCCATGGATCTTAAATTTCGGAATAATATCAATCAATCAATCAATCAATCAATCAATCAAAGCTTTATTTATAAAGCGCCTTCTGCAACCCTGTCAGGAAGCCCAAAGCGCTGAGATTCTAATTATATATATATATATATATATATATATATATATATAGTGCAGCTGTAATATGTGCAGCTGTAGATATTATAGCCTTTACCTTTAACGTGCTTGTCTACAAATGTCTTTCTAATCTCCTGAAACAGCTCTTTCATTTGTTTCCTCTGGTCCATGTTCAGTGTGTGGTAAATACTGTTTCACCACACAACACAGTGTCTACCTGGAGCCCTATATATAGGCCCTTTGACTGATTACAAGATTGTAGACACCTGTGATGCTAATTAGTGGACACATTTTATATTAACATGCCCCTTTGATCCTTTTCTATCTTTTCTAGGGGTACCATCACTTTTGTCCAGGCCTGTTCTGTGAGTTTATGGAAAGCAATGCCTGACTTTCATTGGTTAAATACATAGAATGTTTATTATTATCACTTTTATCAGATTCAAGTTACTTCTGCTGCCATTGTGGGGTTTTCTTTCATTGACCAAAGGGTACCAACTATTTTGTCCACATTTGTAACACCCAAAACATTACATAACCTCCAGGAATGAGTCAATGGTGCAGCTCGGGGATTACTGAGTCAATATATGATAAAAGAATAACAGTTATTCTCTCCCAAAGAATTCTCCCAACCTATTTATGCTTAATGTAAAGTCAAATAAATCTTTTGGGATATTTTATGTTCATTTTTAGACCTTATCTTTATTCCCGTTTTAGATGCAACATTAGTGTGGTATTCAATTCAATTCAAAAATACTTTATTAATCCCAGAGGGAAATTAGAGTTTCAGTACACACAATTCTGAGATTAGACATACATACATACATAGACGCATGGCAAGAATTGGTGACTGTGGTCATTTGCAACCCGAGTTGCACTACCGTAATAGATCAAGAGGGTTTATATGAGGATAGAGTCAGGGGGGAGGGGAAAAAAGGCACTTCAGAGTTACCCTCAACAGAGAGGGTAGCTTTGCTATGCAAAAAAAACACCTCAGACAGAAATGCACACAGACTTCAGACATTACACAACATATGTGTCCACTAGGTGGGGAGGTGGGATTGGGACTCTCCTCACTTCAGTGCCTGCAGCCGCATGGAGCAGTGCTCATCCCCTCCGTTTGGACATGGGAGGGAGATAATGGGTTAGAGCAGGTGCACAGATAGGGTGGGGGATGGGGGGATCTGTCCCCCCAGATTCAGATCGACCCTGATCCCCCCCCCCCCCCCCCCCCAACTAAGGCCAGAAAGAAAACAAAATCGGAGGTTACGCGCTTGAAGCTCCTTTTGCCAATTTCATTGAATGCAGCATGACGTAAACAAACCCCGACTCCAGAGGTGCAAAAGTGGTTGCTGCTAGGATGCAGGATGAAGCGAAAAAGGCAAGCAATGATTACTGCGTGTTTAAAAAAGACCAACCATGTAAGTAGGCTGGACCGATCTGTCTATGCATGTTGGTTCTAGTTTCAGTACATTGTTGTCAGTGTTGGGACTTACTCGTTATAAGTGCCAAAGTCTCATTGCTGACTTTAACAAGTCTCATCTACAAATATGATCCCTCATGAAGTTACTACTTTACATCAGACGATAGTGAAGATGTGTAACCTTCAGGCTGAGCAAACTTTGGAAGTTTTTAGAGCTTGAAAAATGCCTCCCGCCGTGAGGCTCCCAGTCAGGGAGAGGAGGAGATGTGTGCAACACGAAGAGCGCAAATATTAGATAAAACATATAATTGCTGGCAGGCCTGGTCTTTGTTGACTGATCACTTTGTCTGGTGATGACTGACTCTGATTATGAAGCAGATTATTGACTCTGATGAAGACATTCACTCATCCAGCCAGGAAGATTGATGCTGCTGCAGCATCAGACAGCTGGTGCTGCACAAGAGGTGTGTGGAGTTTACAAGCTCCAAATGTTGGGTTTGATGTTTGTTTAACCTTCTTTGGGACGTGATGGATGTAGAAACTATGGTAAAACACCGCAAACGTGACAGACGTAGCGACAATGTAAAAAAAAAAGCCGTGAATAAGGCAGATGCCGATGCGTCATATATGGAAGTCAAGTGTGCCACATAATCATAAAAAAGTTACAATGTAAAATTTTAAAATAGATTTACATATTTATGTATAAATTAAAACTTTCCAAATATAATGAAAATTTCTAAATAACATAAAAAGATGAAGGAACATCTGTTGGTCAGGCTGAAAAGTTTGGGAACAACTGCTCTAAGTGATAAGCAGCAGGGGCAGCAGTAGCTCAACAGGTTGAGCAGGTTTTCCAGTAATCGGAAGGTTGCAGGTTCGATCCCGGTTCCGGACAGAAAATTCTGCTGTTGTGTCCTTGGGCAAGACAACCCACCTTGCCTGCTGGTGGTGGTCGGAGGGACCGGTGGCATCTGTGCTCGGCAGCCTCGCCTTTGTCAGTGCGCTCCAGGGCAGCTGTGGCTACATTGTAGCTTATTACCACCAGTGTGTGAATGTGTGTGTGCATGGATGAATGATACACTGTAGTGTAAAGCGCTTTGGAGTCCTTACTCTGAGAGGTGCTATACAAGTGCAGGTCATTTATCATAAGTGGATTTCGTTTTTTAAATATATTTTATGTGCAGTTTTTTAGGGTTTTTATGTTTTCTGTAAAGATTGGTATGCTGAAAATCATTTAATGTTTTGCTTAAAGCATGAGGTTTTGGTTAGTAATTGATTGGGAGAATAACAAATGACTGAATTAAATAGTGGAGCGCCTCTGTCAGTGCGCCCCAGGGCAGCTGTGGCTACATCGTAGCTCATCCCCATCAGTGTGTGAATGGGTGTGTGAATGGATGAATGATACACTGTAGTGTAAAGCACTTTGGAATCCTTACTCTGAGAGGAGCTATAGAAGTGCAGATCATTTATCATTTATAGTGTTGATAAGGCAGAGATTTGTTGCCAGCATTCCACTGCATATTGGCTTCAAACACGTACATAAAGTGTTAGTTTTTACATAAACCATTTGATGAAATTACACAAACTGACTGAACTCTAGTTAAGGCGCTTGCAATAGTTTGTGTGTGTGTGTGTGTGTGTGTGTGTGTGTGTGTGTGTGTGTGTGTGTGTGTGTGTGTGTGTGTGTGTGTGTGTGTTTGGGGGAGGGTACATTGACTCCTAGATACGGTTCCACGGCCTTCACCGGTCACAGTCCCGCACTCTAAAAAAAAAAAAGTTGAACGAACTTAAAAAAGTAAGGCAACCAGCTGCACAGCTTTTTTGAGTAGACTCAACAAAGGTTTTTTTTGTTGTGTGAACAAGAACTAAACTGTAAACTGAACTATCAATCTTAAGTTAAACAAATTTAAAATTGCTCTTCAGCTTTCCTTTCGTTTTTAAGTTGAAGCAACCCATGTTTTTTAGTTAAATGTACTGAAGAAAAAGTTGAGACAACATGTTTACATTTGTTGCCTTAACTTACTTGTATGAGTACATTTGACATAAAGTTTTAAATTGGTCAAACTTAAGGCTTCAACTCATATATACTCATTCAAGTAAGTTGAGACAACATATGTAAACATGTTGTCTCAACTTTTTCTTCAGTACTTTTAACTAAAAACATGGGTTGCTTCAACTTAAAAACAGAAGTAGAGCTGAAGAGCAATTTTAAATTTGTTCAACTTCAGAATGACAGTTCAATTAACAATTTAGTTCTTGTTCACACAACAAAAAACCCTTTGTTGAGTCTACTCAAAAAAGCTGTGCAGCTGGTTGCCTTACTTTTCTAAGTTTACTCGACTGCCTTACCTTTTAAGTTTATTCAACTGCCCATTCTTTAAATAGAAAGTTGGAAGTAACATACCACATCAAAAGCATCTTGTGTATAGGGAAACATTTATTTGTAACATTGCAACATCAAAATTAAAGTTATTCTTTTTATCAATCTTCCAATGGTAGTTAATTTCCTCTGTGGACAATGTAATAAAATAAAAAAAATGGAAAATAAAATTCCATAAGAGATTACAGAAAAAATAAAACTAATGCACATGAAAGGCACTTCATGGAAGATATATATATATATATATATATATATATCCTTACCATAAATGAAAATATGCCACAACAATGACACTGAAAAATATTCATCTCATCCTGGATATTGTACTCTGAAGTACAAAGAAAAATAATTGATAACAGTGTTATAAACTTCTGTAGAGCTCAGTATAGTGGCTACCTTGTAATATTGTTTTGGATAACTTTGGCATGTAAAAAAGTATTAGAAAAAGATGTACAATTCTGTACAACAGTAATCCCTGAAGAAGCCATTTTAACATTCAGAAAATCTTCATTTAAAAGCATTTAAAATACTGCTTTTGAAACATTTGACATTTGTTAAACAACTTACACAAAAAATAATAATAATAATAATAAAAGACTGCTTGGCACCTGCCAGTCTTTAGAATCTGTATGGCTGGTGGAGATTAAGAAACTCGTAGAGGAGAGAACACTTATTATATACAAATAACCACCCCTGAACAAGCCATTTCAACATTCATTATATTTTTATATGAAAACATTCTAAACAATGCTTTAGCAACGCTTAACATTGAAGAACAACTTGCCGTCTCTTACCTTCTCAGCACTCACCAGAGTAGGAGAAAACACCATCTTTATTTCAGCAAACTATTCTTTAGGGCCTGGACTCTGGCTGAGCAGTCGGTTCCCAGACTGAGGAAACCCTTTTGAGTGGCCTCAAAAGTGTACCTCAAGTTCTTAGGATAGTCCAGGTTAAGAGCATATATGAGGCCGAAGAGAAGTGCAAATGCAGTTGGGAAACTGCTGATGTCATCAAGGACAATCTGCTCCTCAATAATCAGGGCGATGCTTCTTGTTGTTGGAAATGAGTTAACTGTTCCAACATCATCTTCGACAACCGTGAGAATACCAAGTTCCATGCCTTGGACAGCCACATCCACTGGGTCAGTATCCTACAGAAAAACAAAGAAATAGGGAGAAAAAAAAAAAGACATTAATTTCTTTTAATTTTAAAATAAAGGAACATCAACCATTATTTTTGGATAAAAATACCTAAAAATAAAAAACTAAACATTCCACAAAATAAATCAGGCAGATTTCTGTCATGAAATTCTGCACGTAGTATATAAAAGAGGCAGATTTGGAAAGATTCATAACTTTTTTGTTTGGCTTTGGGTTGGCAGCGAAGGACAAAGTCACCCTCTATTGCTGTCTAGGCAAGTTCTCGTTGTGAAGGATGGGTACCGAAACGAGGCACCGTTTCAAATTAAGTGAATCGGTGCTCGGTCGGTACTGTGGAATTCGGTCGGTGCCTTAAAAAGTACCGAATTCTGTACCCATCCCTACATCACACATAGCGACGCGCAGTTTCTCATACCGGCAGCTCTTTCCTCTGTTCTAAATGACTTGAATGTCTTTAAAACCACAAGTAGAAGCGCTGAAAGCATTTCTTCTAAAAAAAAAAAAAAAAAAAAAGATTTAAAAGATGTTTACGCCGTTGTCAGATGCCTTTAATTTTTTATTTTTACTACAGCTAAAAAATTACAGCGTCGCACAGTACAGTTGGCATTTATATCTTTTTTCTGATTGGTTTTTTTTGAGCTGCCTAGTCCCGCCCCTCATGTGCCTCTCTGCCTGTGAGTTACCAAACGCTTTCTCTGTGCAGAATTAAACAGAGGATGAGTATGGCAGGCCAGGCTAATGGATTGCTGATATTTCCGCACAAATTTCGGAGACCATCTATATGCTCAGTAATGTACGCCTTCCGAAGGATGTGTGTGTAATCAACTCGGCCAGGCTGGGTATAGTGGAGAGGGATGGAGCCCATGCTAATATGCAAGCCCCAATTGGCATTAGCAAGGAGGGTGTGGGCAGCAGAGGGCAACATCATCCTCCGCTGCCCACAGATAAATTAAGGAAGTGACACCAGTCAGAGGAAGGCTATAGTGTTAGCTAAAACTTGTCAGCAAAAAAGGTAAAAGCAAATCTTTATTATGATGTGTTCAGAAAACAACCAAACAATGGGTGGTGTGTGTGCGTGTGTGCAATATAGACAAGCCATTGAGAGCCGAACGCCTGGTTTATACTCAGCTCCACGAGAAAGAGACACGCACGCACGGACAGAGATATTTTGCCCCTAAACTTCTCCCTCTCCTAGGGAATGTTGCAAAGCTATTCCTCGCCAAGACAACAGAGGGCTTAGCACTGTTCTGTGGTATCCTGTGATGTATCCGGCCCAAAGTAGTGCAGTTACTATTGTGTTTTTTGTATTTCTGAGACTTTTTAACACAGACAAATTTGGGTCTTATTCTCTTCCACCTCTATACTCACATTTCCCATTGTTTCCGTTCACAAATCAAACGCTTGCTGCACATATTTTCACTCCTCCAGTCACAGGTGTATAAAAAATTCATATTTGCAGAGTTTTACCATGAGGTATTTTTCAAGCTAGATATGTTAGGCTCTCTTTTTGTTTTTGAGGGGATAATGACGGCGCTAATGACGACAGTGGTGACCTGACCAATCACAAGCTTGCGTTCTGTCTTGTCAGACGGATGTTTAGAAAAACAGTGCTCAACTTTGTCCTTGTGAGCTGGAGAGCCCTCAAAAGGACGCATAATGGCATTGCATGCATCTGTCCCGACGCAGACGAAAAAGTATAAATTAGGCTTAAGTCATTTACACATCATGGCTCACCAGAAGAATGAAAAAATGAATGCAAGTCAACAGGACTAAAAATGCTTTTTCTAATGCCGCTTGTTTTGTGCCATGGATTTCACATATGATGTCAGTGAATTTTAAAGACACATTTTGATGCCAAGAATAGGGCTGAAACGAATCTTCAAATGATTCCTTTCGTTAAATTCCTTGATTATTTATTTACTTATTCGAAGCTTCGTTAAATGTGTGCACTGCAGTCTGAACACATTTTACTGGTGCACTATGTGGTAATCTAGGTGCTGTGGAGGAAAACAAAGAAACCTGAAAAGATGACCCATTGCTGAAATGGTTTTCCAACTGTGTTGAAGGACTACCTCTTGAAGCTCATCAAGAGAATGCCAAGAGTTTGCCAAGCAGTAATCAGAGCAAAGGATGGCTATTTTAAAGAAAATAAATTATAAAACATGTTTTTTTTAGTTTTTGCACTTTTTTGGTTAAGTACATAACTCCACATGTGTTCATTTATAGTTTTGATGACTTCAGTGAGAATCTCCTAATGTAAATGGTCATGAACATAGACAAGACAGTGACTTAGACTTTTCTTAAGGATATCTAAACAGCAATAGCACTATACCTTACCAGACACGTTTTTAGAAACCCATCAGACTGTTCCTTCAAATATAGAGGCAGACCTCGAAGAGCTGTAGACTTTCTGTATTCAAGTACATCGGTCGTCTGAAAGACAGTTACATGAGAAAATTAAATTAGTAATTAGAAAAATCTCAGTTAGTAAACAGTATGTTTATCAGAAATAACAGTTCATAGACATCTTTACCTTCTCATCAAATATATCTAGAAGGTTCTTGAGCTCCTTGTCAAGTTTTCCAGAGCGCGATCTGTACAGCTTTATGAGTTGTGCAGAGTGTTCATCCAGATATGACAAGAAGGTCTTCATCAGCTCCACCCGGGTAACTCGAAAAAACTCAGCACATATCTTTGAGGTAATAGTGCTCATTAAATCATTATCACATAAAATATGCTAAATGTACCACAATTTTTGCACTTAAACAGAAAACATAATTAAAGGTGCATTATGTAAGAATAGCATAAGACAAACATCTAGTGGTAAAATGTGGTTACTGCACGACTTTTTTCTAAGCAAATTTTTAACTATCTCATTGTTGTTCTGAATTTCATGGCTGTTACAAATCAGCACCAGATTTTAAATAATAGACGTACATTATTATATCAGGTGTTACCACGCTTGGGTGTTTTACGGTGTAGAGCATTTACTGTAATATTTATCCAGCATTAAAGTGTTGTTTTTCCTTCTTCTTGCTGTTAGCTGGCTTTAATGAATGACTCATTAAAGGAAGTAAAATGCCATAATTGAATTATTTTTGTTTTTACTCTGGACTCAGTGCGCTAATAAACTTTGACTGATTAACTGATTAATTTCACACACATTTCACTGTAATATCCAGTTGTCTGTCATTTAAAAAGTAGCTTGAAATATTTTTAGAGCATAACAGTTGCTTATTATACACTATTAGCATTGTTACCTCAACGTTAGCCTCTAGCCTGCTTCTGGGTCACTCCTTGCTTTTGTTAAAAAAAAAAAAACTTTGTAGCTTTTGACTGTACTAAATTACAAATGTCTGTTCTGGCGAGCTAACGCTGCAGAGGCACAGCAACATTACAAACTTCTACTAAATATTTACTACATCTCCCTTTTTGTTTTGAAAGAAAAGGTCTGACAACCTTCCAGCTGGCTTTAAAGGAAATCTGTTTCCACCATGATTAAGGCACTAAACTGTTTTGTGATTATTAGACAGTAGAATTCTTACATAGTGCTCCTTCAAAATATCAAATACAACACACTGGAAAATGCAAACCTGTTCTTCAAAGAACAGCGCAAGCCATCGATTCATCACATCAGAGACAAAGGGTTGTTTTCCCACTATTTCCTTCCTCCTCATGGAAAAAGTATTTTCCATTCCACTGTCTCGCTGTGTAAGATGTAGGGTTGAACTCCGACTTCTGCTGGTTGATGGAGCTAAGTCATTTAAAGATGGCGTGGAAGAAATTGAGGATGCAGATTCATCTCTTTGTTGGATTGCTCCTTGATACAAAATCTTCAGTACTGCTTTGTCTTTAGGAAGTTCTTTAATGTCTGTTAAATTGCACAGTTCATTCCCAAAATCAGGATCCTCAAACTGAATCAAAATATCACCTGCAAGTTCAAGGCATTCTTGAAGAATGTTCTTTAAATGTTCTACTGAACACAGGCTCTCCGAAATATCCACCCTTCTGATGTTGTCTGGTGACACAATGACACGAAACAGCATGATCTGCAACGCAAAAAAAGAAGAAAAAAAAAGTAAATTATAACAAAATACGTCACAAAAAATTCATGAAGGTTTGCAAGAGGAGTACCAGTAAAGAGTTATGCTCAATAGATGACAACTGGTCATGTAACTCTGCTTTAATACAAACAATATAACATTTCGTGGGTAATGTGTGCACAAGTGAATTTCTCTGAAAGCCATTAAACAAATATAAGTCAATTAGCATTTCACCATTTCACCGTCTCAAACAATCAATTACTACATTTTTGTTCCCTATTATTATTATTACCTTAAAGGTGGAGGAGGAACTTCTTCAGGGAGACAACAGCTTTTCCCTGAATAACATAAGACGTAAGAGGATGGATATCATTAAGATCTTCTTCCTCAAGAATTTCAATGTCAGTTGTTTCAGATACTTCATAGCATCTGCAATGTTCAATGTACCATGACATGAGTTTTCTGCACAAGAAAGACACCTTGGCTGAAGAATGAACAAGAATACTGATGATTCTGACAAACGATACCGTCTAGACGCGCGACGGAGCGCTTCACACCGCTTCAGTGATTCCTTTAACCATTGAGCTTCATCATCCAGGTCTCTTATGCGTCTTCGTGCGCAGAATTATGCTTAAGCGCCTCGTGATTTTTATCTTGAGAGGCGCTATAGAAATGATATTTTCTTCTTCTTCTTAACATGAGTCCGATTCTCTCTCCCCCCACCCCCACCCCCCGCCGCCGTCAGACATCTGGAACTTTTCCCTGCTGTGTGAACGCAGCCGAAAGGACAAGTTCCGGTACAAAAGTGGCGTGTCTGAAAACACAGTTCCTCTTAAAAACCGGATTGAATTGTCCACAAATGTTCCAGAATGTCTATCTGAAAAGGGCTCTAGACACTTTTATGTCCGTGTTCCACAAAAAACGTGTGGCGCCATCCACTAGGGAAAATGAGCGCGCACAACGGTTAATCTCGACAGATGGCGACATAAAACGAAAGATATGAGGATAAATACCAATGAAGTTGGACGCTGGGGACTAAATAAATCAAATAAAAGCATTTCCCAGTCAAAAAAAAATAGAGTAGACTTAGATGGTAGAATGCCAGAGCAAGCACACACTTTCACTTACACAAGAATTAGCCTTTGCTAGCTTGGCCTCGACCAGTACGAAAGTCCAATTCTATCAATATACCAATGTGTTTAAATACTTAAGGCATTTGAGCGGCAACCAGCAAAATAACGTTTATATCATAAAGAGGCTTACCTGATCAAACAGCATACATACAGAACGTTCAGACCAACGGTGCTGTGCGTCTCGTCCAAATTCCGCTCCGGCTCAGTACCGCGCTAACCCGGCTTCCGGAAATGACGACTGTCTCTAAATTCTTGAATTTCTCGAACTGTCTGCCACCTATCGATCGGGCGTCTGAATCGCATTTCGTTTCTCTCTAAAACGAAACTGTTTCCGTTGTTTTTTATTGATTTATTTCAAAACCATAATGTAACAAAGTACGAATAGATTAAACAACGTTAAAACAAACAAAATATGCAATTCAGTGGAATACATTTATGTTAACAATCATTAAGGGGGATTAATTATACAAATACACATAAAGCTATACAAAAATCAAATGTTTTGAGAGCGTTTTGTGAGAAGATAATTATTTTAGGTGCAGATTCACATCATTAAGAAAATGAGTAAAATTATACAAAGTTTAACTCTAAGAAATAACACATTTATCATTAAAATACATTTATGCTTTATTTTTTAAAAGTAAGAAGTTAAAAAATGGTATGAGTGTAAGTTACAAAAACTTTCAAAAACTTTGAAGTACTTTAGTTAATGTTACTAAGATATATTAAAAACAAATTTCTGCCAATGTTTGAAACATGACTTTTTTTTAAGATGAATTAATGTTTATTAGATTACTTTACACAGTCAGTTTAACATTAATGGCACCAGATTGGCATGTTAAACTAAAATGTTTACAAACACATAAAAACACAAATATATACGAATGCAAAGGTATAAATGTAAGTATTCATTGTATTCTCATGGATAAATTACATGATTTCCAATACTTCAACAAAGTTTACCATGTGTGGGGCCCTTAGTTGCTTCTCTGGATGCACCACTCATTACCTAAAGTTGTCTCAACTGAAAAATTGAGTTTAAATGGACAACTAATTTGTGAACTTAACATTTTAATTCAGTTAAACTATTTTAGAAAAAAAATGCTCACTTAACTTAGAAATATGTGTTATAATGACAAAACTGTAGTTGAGGTTTTTAGAGTGCGCCCAGCCTGGGATAGGGAGAAAGAGTTTCCAAAGCGACGACAGCATTCCACATTTCGTCTGAGGGGGGAGTTTATACTTCAACCTCACAGGCTCCAAGGGCACCAGATTCAGATAAGAATTGTTTTGGGGACAGATAGAGATAATTTCCTCTCTGCCTTAGAGTTCTGTTGGTCTTCAACCCCTCTAGATCCAATAACGGAATAATTAATCTATCCCAATCCGTGCTGTTCCGTCAACTTGCCTCTTGATGGAATCCACCTTCTATGCCAGAACCTGAAGCTCAGCCAAAGTTCCAAGCTTACGAGTCATCTCGACAATTATATGAGTTTGTGCATCACTGAGCTCCGGGATTGAGCCAATATTCCTCAAAAGCTCATTAATTTTCCGGTAAGTCAGGCAACCGCTCAGGCCAAACAGCAGGAATCCTGACACCAAAACAACGAATATCCAAACATCTTCAGAATCCTCTACAGACAGTTGAGAGAGGCAGATCAGGTTCCACTGTTTCCAGGAGTTCATGATCCTACAGGGTACTACTGTAGATTATTTTTTACTGTATACATTGTATATCATATTTCTATTTCACCTGTTCCTTTGTCTTTCCTACTGCTTTGAGCATGTACATGACACAACAATTTCCCTCGGGATAAATAAAGTTGTTCATATCTTATCTTATCTTATGATATACCCAGCTGGCTCTGTCCCAGAGGGGCATCCGGGAGCCCCTTCTCCCGTTCTCATTGTTGAAAAAATTTTGTTAATCGCGTTGAGAGACCAACTGACCAGATCCATTATTAATAATTTCCAGTTTCCAGAAAAAATGCAGAAAGCGCCGTGCACACGGCTTATTAGCAGTAAGCTGAGGAAACTCATGTAACACAAACAGATTTGAAGAATAAAAACAATGTTGTGATTTAAATGATCAGAGTCTTTATCCCTGTGGGGCTTTATGTCTGCTAATGCCCTTAAAATAGAGCTGAAGGGGCGAACATGGTTCAGCAGTGGAGTCGTGGTCTTGGAAAGAGAAAAATGCAGTAAAAGCTGTTTTGAGTGTTGGATAAAATGAGTTAAATGTTCTGCATAAGGAGGGAAAACATGTCAAGAAGATGCAGTCCAGGTGTGTGCGCAGCTGAAAGTGAAATATACTTGAAGGTGTTAAAATAGTGCCATGTGAGAAACAATTTTTAAAAAATGCACTAATTTCAACATTACTCAATTGGCTGATGCACTCTACTGATATTAATATAAAATATATATTACTATAAAAGCTAAAAATGTTGACTTTGGAGAGCAAAACACAAAAAGTGTAAAAACTTGAGGAATGAAATGGGCATAAAGTGTGAATACATTTTGATACACTGACATCACTTTGTTACTAAACTGCAACATGAACATTTCCGTTAAAGTCACACTTTAAAAATTACATGAAACGACCTAGCCTGGCAAGCCAGAATTTGGTCTAGTTCACTAGGCTAGAAACGACCCACACAGCATCATCAAATTTAAAATGTTTCACAAAGGTGTAATTTTACTACAATTACAAATAAAATTGATCATATTTTCTTGAAATTTTCTGCCTCCAAATTGTCGCCAACAGTAACAACCTAAGAAGATGTTTTTGATTATTTATTAAGGTTTGCCACATTTACAGCAGACACTGACCCCAGCTTTCCACTGGATACGTAACCATTGTGTATTATAATAGCTGCAATTATAGTCAATGGGTGTGTTTCCAATGGACACCTAGCAGCATGTTTTTGAAGCATACAAAAATTATAGTGTTGCTTTGCTTGACTAAAATTATGCATAGAATCTATGTTTTACATGTTATGTTTCCAGAAAGGGCCAAGCTCAGCAGTTCAGATTGGGCCAGACAGGAATGTAAACACAAGAGCAGTAAAAGCATCCAGCAAATTTATAAATAAAAGACACATGCAGGTTTCCCATTTACTACCTAATAAAAAAAGATGTAAATACCCGTGACACCTCTTTGGCTGAAGATAACAAAAAATAAACATCAGCTCAGTGGCGTTGAATGGCCAAACTGGGACAAGTTTTGCTTTGGTCCCCTGTACCGCAAGCTGCCTAGAGGCGTCAGATCACCAAATATTTAGCTGCTTGTTTACTATGAAGTATAAAAACAGCAGTAAAGCCACATTATAATCCTTTAAGTTTGCTATCTCTCTCTCTCTCTCTCTCTCTCTCTCTCTCTCTCTCTCTCTCTCTCTCTCACACACACACACACACACACACACACACACACACACACACACACACACACACACACACACACACACACACACACACACACACACAAACACACGCATGCACATGCAGAACGCATAGACCTAGAAAATGTTTAGTACTATCTCGTTTCCTCTGGCAATACAGGTTTCTGGTTCTGGGTCTCAGGGAAGATACCAAAGGGGAGGGGTGAGTGTTTGGGGGCCATGTTTGAGTTCAAAAAACCTAAAGTGAGAAATCACAACAGTAACACAAATATTGATGTAGTGTTTGAGTTTAATTGAGTCTGATCAGAATTTTCTCAGAATAATTATTCACAGGATTAATTTACTTAGTACAAATTTTAGCTTTGTGCAAGTTTTTTAACATTGAATAAGTATAAAAATTAGTCAGTCTTTTGGATGACTCTGAAAACAACAGATCATCAAGATCCCTTAAAAGAGCCATAACTCCCAAATGTTACTGTTAATTCCTGTTTTCCAAATTCACTAAATTCACTAATAAAATCATGCCATGATGAAAAAGTGTACACAGCAGGCGACTAACACACACACACACACACACACACACACACACACACACACACACACACACACACACACACACACACACTCCTGACACAGCAGCTCTTAACCACAACCTGATCAGCAGATTAATAGAAGAATGAACTCACTAATATAGAAATTAACTCTGCATGTCCTACGCCCTGCAAACTTATTGATGGCGGAGGCAAAATCTATTTTTCTCGCTGTCATTTTTATAGGGAAATTTTCAGAGACATTTGTTTATAATGGTGTGGGGTTGACAGAATCTGATGAGATAATGGATGGACCTGAACCAGATGGATCTGCTGCACTCCTGTAACTGGATTTGGGTGCGACAAAGTTTTTTTTTTTTAAATAATCCAGTTTAGGAAGTTTGGAGTTGTGCACCTTCTCTTTTCTTTTCTGTGCTCCAGATATTTGTGCTGAACTATAAGGCTTATTAGTTTTTCCCCTCTAAAGTTATCCAAAAAACTTGGTTCATCAGTGATGATGTTCATGATGACAATTAAACTGACTATGTTTTGTAAATGTTGAAAAGTAAAATAAATTAAATGTGATTTTTTTTACAGGCAGCAAGTGAACCATTATCATCACTGAAATGAAAAATACTGAAGTTAGAGAATGACATAAATTAGGTGCAGAGTAAGGTAGGGCTTCAATGACAGAAAGACATGGTGGAGCAGATCAATATATGCAGGCATTGTTATCTTTATGATCATCACAAGGTTAAGCTGGAACAGTTACATTGCAACTCAGACAAACAGTATTCTAAGATTCGATTTATAGTTGTAGAGTCCCAAACTGGGCCCCCCAGGATCCGTGGGCCCCCAGCTGCACCAACAGAACCTACGCACCTGCCCAAGCCCTCATTGAATGTTAGATCTTTCTCCTTACTTGTTGTCACATGAACTGGTGAAATCACCTTTAATGTACCACTGCATCTGTTGGAAAGCTGGGCTATGACAAATTTTAAAAGGTTCATTTAGATATTCATAAATTTTGCATTTGATGGCAGATGTCAATTTCCCAATCTTGAACAAATCTGCTACCAGCTAAAGCAAATTCATAGTGATTTCCACAAGAACTATGTGTATCATAAACTTATTTTAAAAATACAATTTTGTTTTACTTAAAAGTTACAATTTTGGAAGCCAACCCTTCTATTTTGGAGTTTTGTTATTGGCAGAGACCTTTAGCAGAGACACGTGGAAAATATTTATGGACAAAATGTAAAAAAATAAATAAATAAAAAAGGTGATTCCTGTTTGATTACTGGTTAATAAATAATCAATGAGGAATACGAGCTGATTTCAACAGATTATGAAAAATATGCTGGCCCATAATTTATTTGTGCCGTACCCCCTTTTTGAAGGCAAACAAATAAAAATCATCCTTGATTAATTTCTAGAGACTGCCTTCTGGGGGCTGGGGCTTTGGGGCATCTAAATTTCCAGCTACGCCCCTGTGAGCCTCCATACTTCCGGGAAGTATTACATAACAAGAAGACACTCGACTTTCCCTAAAGAAGAGCCGACATCATTTATCCAAGACAAACTTTCTCCTTCATAAACACATCCACTACAACAGAGCATCTCCTAAACGAGTCTGTCTCCTGATCCCATCACCGCCCCCCTTCCTCTTCCTCCTCCCCTACCTCTCAGTTCTCTACACTACACACACGCGTACACACGCGCGCGCACACACACACGGACGCTGCAGCGTTTTTTAAGAGTGTTTCCAACCCTGGACAGGAGGGAGGGAGGAGGCAGGAGGAAGGAGAATAATGTCCAAATGCTGGCCGTGTTCATGATCTGAAAAAAAAAGATAGAGAAGAGAGCCGCACACAGGGGCTGATAAATTACCAATCGAATGGATCGGCGATCCGTGTGTGAGCGCTAGATCAGAGAGTGGCATTGCAGACATGGGTCGCAGCGGCTCGGCACCTCTCGCTCTGCTCCTTGGGGAGTGTTTTCACTGTCAGTCCTTCAGCGCTGGAAATGGCGATGTGATGCTGAGCGCGGAAGACGCAGCGGAGGCGGACGCCAAGGAGGAATAAAGACATTTATGCTTGAGCCGCGCTTTTCTTTGGGTTGGATTTTTAGTAGCAGCGGTGGACAGTACCATGGTGAATTACCAGAAATACATTACTGTTATGCAGCTGGCTCTGGGGGTGACCGCCGTCAACAAAGAACATTGTCTTCCGCCCAGGAAGCGAATGTGGTGAGTATCAAGTGTTGGTGCGGATGGGTGATGGTGATGATGATGATGTGATGCAGGTTTGGGGTTGGTGAGGCGGTTGGGGGGGGGGGGGGGGGGGGGGGGGGGGGCTCAAAAATGGTGATCCAAAATGTGTGAAAATGACATAATACTGGAGTCAGCCACTGCAGCCGGTCTGCACCATGTTGGTCTCCCTGTGGAGAAGCCTGCATGCTTCCATCCATCCCTCCTCTCCATTAGTTTGTAAAGTTGAATGATGTCATGAGCATTAATCATGACCTGTGTAACTTCATGCGCTTTTATTGTACGTCAGGCCTCACTGCACTGTTGTTGGAAGTGTCATCATCGAGCTAACCACATGATCAGTCCTACTCCTTCAACCCCTTTCTGTTCTATCTGATTAATAAAAAAACAATTCCTTCTGCACTTCTGCGCATCCTTCATGTCTATTAAACATTTTCCACCCATGTGTTTGTGTCCTCTGTCCACCTATATTCAGTGTCCTCATTACTCTTTCATGTCTTTTTCACTTTCTGCCCCTACTCTGCTGTGGCCTTTTGTTTACTTCAAGGCAGCTTTTATTCCAACTCCTCTTCATCCATGCTCTGAAGCAGATCTGAAGCTGCAGCGCGTGTGGCTCAGTGGCCCTAATTACAACTGGATTACTATCTCATTTGAAAGCAAATTTGTTAATTGGGCTCAATAGCACACTTGATAGCGAATTACACAAATTCAGAATGTAT